CTAGCTAGATTTTTGTATTGATCAATTGATGCCTTTTTCAAAGCCTCAATATTGCTTTATTTATAATAAATATTTTCTATTAATGAATATTACATTTATGATTAATTATATAAGTTGATAAATAATAAATACTATATAAATAATAGTAATTGTTGTAAATGATGATAATTATTGTAAATGATGGTAATTGTTGTAAATGATGGTAATTACTGTAATTGTTTTAATTATTATAATTATAAAAATTATAAAAATTATGAAAATTATGGAAATTATGGAAATTATGGAAATTATATAATTTCCAGTCATAACATCAGTATCATTTTTTTCAACTTGATCCATACTTTTTCTGGATACAAAATATCGTCTGAGACTTTGCTAGGTAAGGCATAGCCTCGAATTTCTGATTCCTCATTAAACATGTAAGTATCATGATTCGAAGAATTGTCCGATGGCCTGCTTTGCAATACTGCAGATATATCATCAGACTCAGTCATATTTTTTTCGTCATTTTCACCAAGTACGGGGTTTGATATATCCTCCGATTTCAGACGCTCGAGATTACTAACTGTTGAAGCTAACTCCCATTCCACTTTAGCTATTTTGGATTTAAGGGATAGATTTTTAGATTTCGTTTTCGATAAGTTTTCCTGAATTGAGAATACATCCTTCTGAGTTGACACTAACTTACTATTTAATATTTTGTTCATTGACTGGAATGATTTTATTTTTTTTAATCGAATGATATTCTTGACTCCATATTCAGTATTGGAAATCTGTAATTGATTAATTTGAGATGTTAAAGTATCTAATTCTGAGCTCAATCGCTTAATCTCATCTATAAGCTGATAAATATGCTTAGAAGTTTCTCTTTATCTTTATTGGTTTGATTTAAATCAAGTTGTAATTGTGATTTATCCTGTTTAATATTTTTACTAAATTCTGAATATATCTTCTGGTAGTTTTTAAAATTCTCAATAAGTTCAGAATTAGTTACACAACTATCACGTAAAGCTTTTTCAAGTTCTACTTCCCTAGTACTTTCAAGTTGATATTCTTTTGATGAGTTGATATCTTGCATTGTACGTACATTGGTCATAATTATTTGATTCAATATGTATTAATATTTACTAATTCCTATTTTTAAAAAAAGAAACAATATGCATCAATACTCATCGATACTCATCGATACTTATCAATACTTATCAATATGTATAATATTGGAATTAATGTGTATCAATATGTTTTGAAAAAATATTGATACTTTTTTTTCTAATATACAATATATATATCAATCTTAAGATGATTACTCATATTCAACAAAAATTTTATCAATCCAATGCGACTTAATTATCCGAATCTGATATTAAAGAAATTAGAAAATCATGAGGGAAAGTACCAAATGCATCAAAGAGAATGGCAAAAAAATTTCATATTGATGCTCGTCATGTTTATGAAATATGAAAACATAAAGAGCGTCTTCAACAGGATCTTGATAATTGGGATAATTCTCCACCTTCTGATTCTCATAACAAGAAACTTTTAGCCATAGAAATATCGATTAATGAAGCAAGTACTAAAGTTGCTAAAAATATAAAATCCAAGCCCAAGCTTATTCATAATTCTGATCAATTTTTCATTAATAAAAATTTATTTAATAAGATGAATAAAATATTAGAAACAAAAAAAGAAACTATCCCACCTGAAATCTCTCAAAAAACTGAAGATCCTTTGGAACTCTTTAAAAGAACACAAAAAGATGCTAAAAAAAGTAGAGCAATTGCACGTACTGATATTTTTAAATTATCTATTCTTAATTCGAAAGTATAGAATTGATTTCTTCTTTATAATGATTATACAAATCATTATAATATCCAATAAATTCTGAATTGATTTGAATACTAGTAAATAGTGCTTTTTCAAGTTCCTTTATATGAATAGTCATACTTTCACAATTTACGCATTTTTTTAGCACCTTTGACTGATCCTCATTAATATTTTCATTTGGTTTAATAAAAGTTGGGATAATGTAAGATTTTTCATGAACTGTCATTTGGAATTCATGTTTGTTAGAATCTGGAATTTCTTTAACTTTTTGGATAAATGGCATTCCTAAACAAAGAAGATAATCTGTTTCTTTATCATCAATAACTACAATATTTACCGTTACTATAAGTCACTCATTCTTATATTTTATAGATATTGCAATATCTTTATGTTCTTCTATTAATTTGGTTACATGATCTGAATTATGAGTAAGAATAAAATTTGGTGCAATTCCAAGATCCCACCCTAATGCATTATTTAATACTTTATTCATAAAAACACATTCAGATGCAGTATCTAAAAATACCTCTGAAATATCTATATCTTCTATTTTACATTGCATATATTCAAGAGATTCAACCCATTTATTTTTTGTTAATGGATTGATAATTTTTTCTCGTAATGCTGGAGATAATAATTGAAATAATTGGTCATCTGATTCTGGAAAAAGTTTAGGTTCTTTACTCAAAGATTTACATGAGCCAGCCTCTGGTTGTGATGTCTTATCTATTAGTGATAATATCCATTTTTTTTCATTCGAAGATTGGTTCACATCAGAATTATTGTCATATCATATATTATCTTCTTTATTATATCCACTATTTTCTTCATTAACTGAAAAGCTATAATTTATCAGTTGAAAAGGATAATATCATTATGTTCTATTTGATTTGGCTATCAGTTTTTTGGGTTGATTGTTTATATTAAGTTGAGATAACATATTTCCAATTTCATCTACTTTCTCTTCTAATTGAATAAAGTTATCTTTTTGTTGTGGACGAGATCTTTGAAAAGGTTTTTCAGGATAATTTGAATCTAAATCTTCATTACTATATATACCTAAATCATTAAAGAATTTAGCTAAATAATATTTTTCATAATCTTTTTCCATTTTTAAATTTAATGGAGGACCTCTTGGTTGTCTAACTGGTTCAACTAGTTCAACTGGTGCCTGAGTTTTCTGTGTTTTTTGAGATTGAACTTCCTTTCTTAATTTTTCTATCTCAGCATCAGATTCAGATTTCTGTTTTACTAATATCTCATTAATCATTTTTGTATATCAGGTGATTGCGAAATTACTGGAGCTTCTATTATTTTAGGATTATAGGAAGATAGTTGATAAACTTTACCTTCATTTAAATTTGGAGTATGTTCTAGCCACATATTTTTTAATTCAGTAAAAAATGCATTAATACCAATTGGATTAGCAATTTTCATCCATGTATAAAGCTCATCTGGTAATTAATTTTTAAGAAAACCTAAAACTTGTTTATCATTGTCCGCTACACCTATTGTTAGTAGTCAAATTTTAGCTTTATAGGAGTCAAGAGTATCATAAGACTGAAATCTTTCTTGAGTCAATCTTTGAATTGCAGATTGTTGACTACCTATTGTTTCTCTTTGATATTTGATATTTAAATATCCCCATAATATTGCTGGAGTATTAATAGCAGGATTACCATGAGTATAGGGAGCATTAGCTGGTACTGGAGCAAATTTGCCTTCTATTTTACTTTTTAATACATCGTATTTAACAGCATCATTGAAGTCACATGCATTGTCTGTCTCAAGAGCTATCATTTGAGGTACTGTAATAGATCATGCTTGTTCTAATGTATTTACATAATCATCAGATGGCATTTGGTCTATATATTGTGAAATTGGTTGAAAAGATTGATATATCAATTTTAATACTGGTCGTCATCTACCTTCTGTCATATTTTGTGGATTATTTTGTAACAATAAAATTTATCCCTGCAAATTTAAAATTAATTATTCTGCATTTCTGGTTCTATTTTTTCACTTTCCCCATTTAATATCAAGTTGTATATCACATAAATATAAATCATTTTCTAATCTATCTATTCTGATACAACATTGTTGTAATTCTAAAAAATACTGCTGGCATACAACTCTTTCATTATTATATGTAGTAGTTATTAAGTTGAGATCTCCTTGAGTTTGTGTTAACTCTGTTTGACATATATCTTGTTCTGCTTCTGCATTATATCTTTGTTGTTGCTCATTTTTAAGATCAGTTTGAAGATTGTTATATTTGTAATGTATCTGTCTTGTAACTCTTTTTATTTGATTGGATAAAATTGTTCTATTTGTCCCTGAATTATTCAAATAATCATCAATAGTATTAGCTAATTCAGCTATTGTTGCCATATCTGGGTCAGATGTATAACTATCTTGAGAATTTTCATCTAATTCATAATCATTTTCTATATTCTATATCTGAGCATTTTGCAAAGTTTCTTGAGTATTTATAAGTTCTACTCTATCTTGGTATCTCAATAATGTTAATGCTATTGTATAATGATCTTTCGTCATAATATTTTATTATTGGATTATAAATATCTCATATATTATTGGATAAAGATCATAT